GAGCCCCGGCCGGGCTTGGGATCGGGATCCCCGCCCCCCGCGCTGCCATGGGAGCCCCCTGTCCGGGGCCGGGGGCCGGGTCCCGCGCTGCCATCGGGGCCCCTGTCCGGGGCCGGGTGCTGGGGTCAGCCCCGCGCTGCCATCGGGGCCCCTGTCCAGAGCCGGGTGCTGGTGTCGGGGCCCTGCGCTGCCCATCCACACCAACGCCATCACGCCTGGGGCTGCCCGGGGCCAGGGGAGGTTGACCCCCTGTGCAGGAGCATCGTGGCAACAGCCTTGCCTGCAGAGGAGAAGCCTGAGGGGCCCTGGGGTGGGAAACCGACCTCACCCCCATCCTCCTCCTTCCCCGCTGACCTCCAGGCTTTCCTCCAGATCATCCCACCCTGCCAGGCGGGCTGGGCCCCGCGGAGCAAGGTCACTAGGAAGTTTCTAAGCAAACTTCTCATCCCGGGCGCCCAGAGGTGGCCCCTGCAGCTCCCAGGACAAAGGAGGCGAGTGAAGAGAGTGCAGGGAGCTCCGGAGGAGCCCGGCTTTGGTCCACCACTGTGAAGAGCCTGGTTGCATGTGCCAGCTGTCAGTAATTGATTATACTGGCAGTGCCAGCACGGCGGGCCTGGGGCTCACCTAAGCATGACGGATCGGCCTGTAGGAGAGCCTAGAAAGAAGCAGATGGGAACTTCCTGAAGGGAAGGGCATATAGGAGACTAGATATGGGGAGCCCATATCATGTGGGTGCTGTGTCAGAGCTGGTGGGGTCATGGCCGGGACAGCCAGTGCTAAGAGACTTGCTCTTTCAGGGGCTGGTGACCTTCAAGGAGGAGGCGGTGTGTTTCACTGAGGGGCAGCAAGCGTGCTAATCTGGATCCAAGGGACGACATGCAGGAGAACTACGAGAATGTGATCTCGCTGGGTAAGGATTCTTGTCTCGGGTGTGGTTGAACGTGGTGGGTCTCGGAAGGGCCTGGGCTGGGTTTTGTGCCCGTTCCTCCCACTGAGCCCTTAGGTTTCGAGGGATCGACTCCACGCTTCCTGGAACCCAAGTGAGCGGGGCTGTCCCCTCCCTAACGCCCAGATTCAGGAACATGGTGGTGATATTAATATATGGACTGGAAGTAGCAATTGTTGGATGAACATCTCTGGCCCATGAAACCCTACTAATGATTGTAATGGTCCTTTTGGAGTCTCCTCATCTTCAGGTTTTCCCTAGGAATGGGAGACGGTTATGTGATACTCACAATCGTGCAAAATGTCATCGTGTCTCTCCATTTGCAGGATTGGTGCCATCATACGATGCCTTCTAGTATGGGCAGATGTAGAGAAAGATAAGTGATATATCCCCAGTGCCATTACTGCAGCATGTGGGGACTTCAGAATGCCCTAGTGGGGGAATGACACAACCCCCAGCTAGATCTGCCCCTTTCTCCTCTGTGACCAAGTTCTCCTTTTTTGGACTCCATGATCCCCCAGCACTGAAGCAAATTACTATTCCCACACCATTATTAGGGTGCGTAGGACTTTCTGGGAATTTAAGAAGAGATGGTTCTAGCCCTGAGGAGTTTACAGACTGAGATACAACACAGAGAGGGGTAGCGTAAGACAAGGAAACAAAGACAAAGAACGATCCTGGGATACATTAAGCATTGCTGCATTTCCATAATTTTCATTCCAGATTTTTCTTTTCCCTCATTTCTTATTCTGGGGATCATACAGAGTTTTTACTTGAACAGGTTACTGGATTTGCACAGTTGCTACATTATTTGTTAAATCCCATCTCGAGGAAATGGTTATAACTGAAGAGTGTCTTGAACAAGGTTACCTGACACCCAGAATATGGGTTATAGTTTCCGCAGATGACTCTTCTACCTGAACCCCACAAGGGCCCTGCTCTGTTTGAGGTTGGGAACTCTTCAGAGAGGGATCTGTTTCTCTCCCTTTGTACAATACCTAGGAGAGGGGGTCTGAGTCCTGGCTGGGAACTTTGGCTGCTGCCACAATACTAATAATGATAATAGTCATTAATAAAGGTCCCCAGCTGTTTATACTTCAGTAGTCTTTACTTTGGGCATACCTTCATTTACTATCAGCCCCTAACTTGCATACATCTCCAACCAACTTTTAACTTCATTCAATTTGCATAAAGACCTGTAAATTTAAAAAAAGAGTTAGTAAGATCTCATCTCATCTCCTTACCAGTGGGTCCAGTAAATATTTGCTAATGAAGCTTTTCCTTTTTTCACCTGTCTTCCTACTTAAAAAAAAATATTTGTCTCTTATTATATTATTTATTTTCATTTGAATTAATCTAAGTCATTGTTACCAGTATTCAAATGATATTATATTACAAATCCAAAATTGCAGCCCTGCCAAGCAGTAGCTTACAACCCAGTACTAACCTCTCCACAAGCCAGTTTGCATTGCAATCCTTCTATGCCTGTTCAAAGGCCAGAAGAAGCAAACAGGGCCTGCTGTATGCCATGAGCTTGGACATAACTGAACTATTCTGATTTTGTGTGCATGTTATCCAAGCATAAAGGCACCATACAGTCTAATTAGAGCAAGATGTTCCCAGTATCCCAGGAACCTCCGTAAGAACACTGGAAATGTCCCAGTTTATAATTTAATCAATCAGAACATCTGGTTTCATTTATTGCTACAAAGCGTTTGTTCCAATTCTGTGTTTGCCAGCCCTGTGGAACAACAGCTCAGGTGATGAAATGTTTGGAGTGAAGAGAAACATGGAATGAGTGTGTAAATGGTATTAGAGTTGTTCTGTTGCTCAAACTGTATGCAGATGACCCCAAGCCAGCATCTTTTAATAGACTTACATAGACATTGATGAGTTATTCAAAATAATCCTGTACTCCCAGATATATTCCTGTATAGCTACTGAATTGGAAGCTGGCAGTTGTAGCAGCAGGTTATATCTTTTCAAAAAGCACACTTTCGTGTTTTTGCCTGGACATTGTGTGACCATAAAATATTAGACCACAGAAGTACCCTGTCACCTGATGCAAAATGCAAGAGGCATGGAAAGAACCATAACTTAAACGACAGAGATACTTACCAATTACTATTAAATACCATATAAAGAAAGAAGCTACAGTTTTGATTGACCAGGGCATACATTAAAACCTTGATCCTGGAAAAATGTGCGCACTCACTTTTCTTTCTATGTTGTGAGCCAGCTCATCAATTGGTATGAAGTGTTGTAGCTCAGTTGAAGTCATACTAGCTAGGGAATCTGGCCTTTGTATAGTCTCACTGAAGCAACAGCAGTTTTTCCATTGGTTTCAGTGGGAGTAGAGTTAGGGATGCTACTGAGCCCTTTTGAAAATCTTGCCCTTGAAGTATCAAAGAAAAGAATATAGAAGTGTAGAAACAGGGGGCCTTCAGGGCCATTGAATCCAGTCCCTGAGTTCAGTCTACAAGATCACCTACTGCAAATCCCTGCACATCTCACACACAAAACACCTTAATAAAAATATTCCTCAGCATACCACAGGTAGAGAGCAGGGATAACAGGGACACCCCCAATGCCATTCCACTACAGTAGTCTTCCTCAACTTCTTAGAACAGAAGAATTCCCATTTACTGGGTCAAACCATAGGTCTGTCTTGCCACGGTATCCTGTGTCACACAGTGGTAAAGAGTAGATGCTGAAAGGCAGAGGGACCTGGGTATGACCAGGGTTTTATCCACTGTTCCTCTCTCACTTGCAGCCTCCAGCATTTAAGGTTTAGGAAGTTTTAATTCACAGGCTGTACCCCTGACCCCCATGCTCAATAGCTGCTGATGTCCCCTTTCCTTCAAGAATTTGTTCAGTCACTTTGACACTTACTACCTACTAGATGCATCTACGTGTGCATATTAATGCGCTATAATAAATTCTGGTGCTTATCACACTGGAGTTTATTGCTCCCGGAGCGCATTTACACATGCACCTGGGATCGCAGCACATTGAGCTAAGTCAGCCTGCCAACCCTGGGATGCTCCCCCCGGCTCAATGTGCTGCAGAAGGGGTGGATGGGGCACGAGAGTGCTCCAGTGTGGAGCACTGTTTTTCTCTATCCTTTTTGATGTGAAGGGACCAGAACTAGGCACAGTATTCAAGGTGTGGATGCACCACAGATTGCTAAAGGGAAATGATGAAGCTTTCAGTTTTGTTTAGTGTGTTCGCCTTTCTGATGGCTGCTGAGCAGGGGGCCTCTGTTTTTAGAGAACTGTCCACAGTGACTCCCAGATCTCTTTCCTGTGTGGTAATAGCTAATTTAGAGTACCTCATCATGTAGGTATAGTTGGAGTTATTTTTGCCCAGGCACATCACTTTGCACTTCTCTACATTGAATTGCATCTGCCATTTAGTTGCCAATTTACTCAGTTGTGCCCAGATCCTTTTGTAGTTCCTCAGAATCCATCTTGGTCTTTACCGCGTTGAATCATTTTGTGTCATTTGCAAATTTGGCCACCTCACTCACTCCCTTTTCCAGATCGTTTATGAATATGTTAAACAGTACTGGTCTCAATACAAATCCCTGGGGGACCCTGCTGTTTACTTCTTTCCACCCTGAAAACTGACCATTCATACTTACTCTTTGCTTTCCATCTTTGAGCCAATTTCTAATCCACAAGTAGACATTCTCTGTAATCCCATGACTACCTAATTTAGTTAAGAGCCACTGATGGGAAAATTTGTCAAAGGCTTTTTGGAAGTCCAAATATACTATGTCAGCTGGATTGCCCCAATCCACCTGTTTATAGACACCAACAAAGAACTCTAGACTCAACCCCCCTCGGAAAATGCCAGATGTCATCTTTCACTTCTTTTTTTTGATTATGGAACATTAATAAAACAATTCTTCTGTTGCAAAGAGCTCAGAAAGACCACAGCAGATCATAATGCTTTTGATGGTATGGATTCCTATTTGAAATCTCTGAGTTTATCTTGTGAATTGTTGAGGTGCTGATATAGAGCAGCACCCTTAAAAGCATCTTGTGGCACTCCAAAGTGCTGTGGCACCCTAGCTGAGAAATACTTCACTACAGCCAAACCATGAATTGGAAAAGTCAAATGCAAATGGAAATCCTTGTCCCTGCTCTATGATGGGCTGGAAACACATTCTTCAATCCAGACGTCTGCATTTATATTTAATTATTTCTCCTGTAAGACAGGAAAAAACAGGAAAATATCACGTTGCATAATGTGCACATTTGAGTATCCTATCATGGATAACAGTCCCAAACAAATTTGTCAAGATGACAGAGTTTTTCTGTAAAACAAGGGAGAATAATAAGAGGTTGCTAATATATCTCCATGTAAAGATATATTTATGGTCTACGACTGATATTTACACAATACCTACTCTCAGTAACCAAAAGTGAAGGGGGCTGCCTGCACACACTTATGGGCCAAAGTGCTTAAGTATGTGCTTAACTATAAACATATTAAGTAATTCCATGTTTTCCATTAAAGCGCTTCAGCTGAAGCTTAACTAAGCAAGTGAATGTCACTGAATTTAAGAAAATCGTCCACGGAAGCTCTGCAAGACCTTTTTATTTGGGCAGGTATTTAGCAAGCAATCTGAGTTGGGAGGACTGATTTTTTGCTATTTTTCTTATGTGATATTGTATCTGCCTTTATTTATTTATTTTACTGTAAGCTTCCCTGAGCCTTTTTGGGGAAGGGTGGCATATTGAAGGAAGAAAGGAATAAATAGGCTTAAAGTTAGGCTTCTGCTAATGTGGCTTGATAAATTAGTCATAAACCCCCTTTTTTCCTTTTTGCTGGTTAACAAAAGAATAAAATTGAATATAACCAGTTCTGGATTTTGTGAATAGGTTTAGGTACGAACACAATCAAAGCAATAAAAAGCAATTAGCAACCATGGATGCTGTTTAATGGGTCAGATTCTC